CAGCGCCGGGGAGCTGGGCGACGGCAAGGCCGCGGAGGATGCGCTGCAGTCGCTGCCCGCGATGCTGGGCCAACAGACGCCAACAACGTTGCGCCGCACCACGCCCATTACAGCCGGAAGTCGTCTGGCCATTACCGAGCATCAGTCACAGTCGCAGTCGCAGTCGCAGTCGCAGCCGCAGCCGCAGCCGCAGTCCCAGCTGTCGGGCGAGGCCAAAGAACAGGTGAGGCATTTGGCATTGATGTGGCACTGGGTGCGCCCTGGGGCTGGGTCGCAGCTCTTATTGATCGATGTTGCTTATGTTGCCTTTCGCTCCAGCCAAACGGTGCCGGCAACTTTCTGCGTCCGATTGCCTTCAAGCCGATACCATTCGAGCCGGACTATCGCATTGCTGCCCAACAGCAGCAACATGAGCAACAGCAACAACAACAGCAGCAACAGCAGCAGCAGCAACAGCAACAACAGCAACAACAACAACAGCAACTACAGGGATCCGCCCAGCAGCAGTCGGTAGCGGGCGAGCGGTACGGCTATGGCTCGACACCCTCCCTGGCACCGCTCCCATCCACGGCAGCCACCCAGCACAAGTTCGGAAGTAAGTGAACCAGCTCTAGCGCATGTCTATAGTTTCTCTAACTGCTGCCACTCTCGCCAGGCACAACAGATCTGCGTCATTTGGCGGCGCGCCGACGCGGCCATCGAGTGGTGCAGCGCAGCAGCAATGAGGATGGACTCGGCCTTGGCCTGGGCCTGGGTCTGAGCCTGGGCCTCGAGTGCCTGTCTGGGCTCGACAGGCCAGACGGCGGTAGCAGGTGCGTAATCCCTAGAGGACGCCACGCCCCCTCAGCCGATTAACCAATTCGTTTTACAGCAAGGGCAACGCCTTGACTGGTGGCAGTGACCTGACGCCCTCGCCCTCGGACTCGGGCATCTCGGAGCTGGAGGTGGCGCTCAAGGATCGCGACTCGGAGCTGTCGTATCTGCGGCAGGCAATGGAACAGAATGAGAAAGTAATTTTCAAAGTCCAAAAGGTTAAATAGCAAACTGGTCACCCCATCAGTCTGACTAATCCTCTCGTCTCGTCTCGGCCCGTCTCGTTTCTATTCTCAATTAGGACAAGGAGGTCTACTGGGAGCACGAGACACAGCGCCTGAAGCTCTTCTATGAGAGCCAGCAGCGCGAGTATCATCTGAAGTTCAAGAAAATGGAGCAGCTCCTCGCCCTGCAGCAGTTCCAGCTGAAGCAGCACAACTTGCGCCAGTCGGAGCAGCTCCAGAAACTGCAGCAACAGCTCGACCTGACGCGCACCAGCAACAAGTGCCTCAAGAACTCCGAGCAGCAGCTGCAGTGCTCCGCCCAGGAGCTCAACCAGCAGCTGAACGAGGCCCACCAGACGATATCGGCGCTGCGCGTCCAGCTGGAAGACAGCGAGTGGAAGGTGTGCGAGCGCAACGGCGAAATAGCTTTACTCAAGACGCAGCTGAAGGAGGCGCATGTAAGTCGAGATGGGAATGGAGCATCCCACTCTTGTTGGAATGCAAAGCAGAAGCTGGAAAGGATTAGGGTCAGGGAATGAAGGAAAAGGCGACGTTCAAAGTCTGTGTATTCATGACAGGAGAAAAGGATGATGAGATCTTACTAAGTAGAGTATATGAAGGTGTTGATTACGAGAGAACTGTGGAATGGATGGACGGACGGATAGCCTGATACAGACAGAGGGACGGATGAATGATAGAATGGACGGACGGATGGATAATAGAACGAACTGATGGACAGACGGACAAACAGGCGAACGGGCGAATGGACGGATGGACTGTCAAACGGACGGACAGATAGTCGGATGGAAATTTCGGCGGACGGACGGCAGACGGACGGGCGGATGGATAGACGGATGAACAGACGGACAGACAGATGGAAGGATGGATGAATGGATAGACAGACGGACAGACAGACGGTAGGATGGAACTATCAACAAAGAGACAAACGAATGAAGGACAGAATAGACGAACGGGAGGATGATAGTACGGGCTGATGGTCAGTCGGACGATACGACGAACGGATGGACTAACAGACGGGCGGACGAATAGAAGGATGCACGGGTGGACAGATATCAGGACAGACTAATGGGGAAACAGACTAGCGGAAGGACAGATGGTAGGACTTACGAATGAACAGGTGGATATACAGGTAGATAGGCGGAAGAAAGGACCAGCTTGCCCTGGTCCTGGACGAACATAGTTACATAGGCTCAATTATTAACCCTGATCGAGGATATATGTATATGTATATGTATATGTATATACGTATATCTACCACACCTTCTTCTCTTTATTATTAAGTATTTAAATAATTTGTACTGACTTCCCATTAAATTTGGATTCGTAGTATAATAAGAATTGAGCTGCGTGCACAAAACGAACCTCAAGACGGGGAGCTACCGCAACCCATAGGCACAGCTACCAATTTAAAATGGCTTTGAGCTGAGGCCTAAATAACTGTCTGAGCTCAATTAAGAAGTAGCCAAATTATGACACTTTCAAAAAAAGCTCAAAACTCAATCAAGTTTTGGTTAGGTCAGTCAGGGGGGGAGGGGGGGGGCAATGGAAGTCCGAGAGAAACACTTGAGTCTAGGTCAAAGAAACGATTAGCTTGGGGAACAGGTTTTGCCAACTCAATGGAGCTGTAGCTAATAATTAGTATTAAATTATGTTAATGCTAGAATCAATGAGCCGTAATAACTACTTCTTGAAAGACGGAAAGAGTCGAAGCTAAGCGGATATTTGATAAGTTTTGTTAATCATTTACTATTCATTTACTATTCTTCTATTACTTTACTTCTCAGCTTGAAATCAATATGAAGGATCACACAATTCTCAGCCTTAGACACAGCAACAACAACAACAGCAATAACAATAATAATAACAACAACAACAACAACTGTCAGACAACCACATGCCAAAGTCAACCAAAGCAGCAGGCGAAGGAAGCTCAACAGCTAAAGGATCCGGAGCAGGAGCAACAGCTGCAGCAGCTGAACAAGATCATTGCCCTGAAGGATCAGGTGATTGGGGCGCTCACCAACGAGCTGGCCAAGCTGCGCAAGGAGCTCTCCGACCTGGCCATTGCGCACGAGTATGGCGAGGAGCCGTGCGGCCGCTACACGCGCCTCAAGCAGCAGCTGGACAACCTGAACGAGATCTGCCAGAAGACGCACAAGTATACGAGGCAGGCGGCGGCCGGGCCCATGCAGCTGGACGCCATCATGGAGCGACTGCAGCTGGACCAGGGCCAGCCGGCGCAGCTGGCGCTGGACACGCTGATCGAGGAGTCGACCACCTATGCCGAGGACATAGCCAAGCTGCGTCAGAAACTCGACGATTTCCGCATCAATCTCGAGCTGGAGAAGCGTCAATGGTGCGCCGAGAAGGACAAGGTGCTCGGCTACCAGAAGCAGCTGCAGGCCCACTACATTCACATGTACCAGAAGCTGCGCTGCCTGGACAATGCGGCCACAAATGCAGCAGCCCCATCAGCAGCAGCAGCAACAGCAACGCCCCCTCCGCCTCCCGCGGCGGCCGCACCAGCCGCCGAGGTGAGCAACCAGGTCTAATGACATTTTCAACTGCTGCTGTCGCTCGGTGCTGAGCCCAAACACTGCTGATAAAATGAGCTCATTTGTTTTGTCATTTCCAGTGGCAATTAGTTACGACAATACCTAAACAGATGCTTCCGAACGATTAGCATTCCAGACGTGACTCGTCCACAAAGTTGGCTCCGTTTCCAGCTTGAGTCAGCAATATCGTTTAACTACAACTTCTACTATCTATAATTATATATATATCTATATATATATACATATATCTTGCCTGTCTACATGAATGGCTACATTTATGCTAGGTCTAGACAGGTTCTCCATATAATATCCAACATCAAGAATTTAATATTGAAAATATTTTGAAACAATCTAACTAGCATCAATGTAGTAAAGGTCCCTAAAATGCTAAGGCAGCGATATTTTAAATATTTAATTACAATTATTTTTTGGTAGATTTTTAAGAAATATACAATATTATGATCTAAATAAATAGAGATATATATTTACACATCTATTTATGAACGTCTTTTTTTTTTTAATTGGTTAAAGGACTGCTCTAACTGAAAAATGGAATTTATAAAGGAATATTCCATATATTCTATAAACATTTTCTTGTGCTTCCAATATTCTAAGGCATATATGAAATATAGTATGTACAGTAGAATCCCGATAATTCGAAATGGCAAAGGGATCCGTTTTTTTTCGATTCACACAGGAATTGAAAATATCGAAAATTATTGAGAATGAATTACTTTCAAGGGGGTAGAAAATTTTTCGATTTATCGCGATTTTTGATTTAACGGGATGCGATTTATCGAGACTCGACTGTATATAGCTTCAGCATATGTCGCTGCCGTACCACAGGACACCTTTGCACCGTTGCTCTTCTGCATTTTTATAGATAATCCATCTTTCCCCGATAGCTCTGGTTTCGGTTATGGTAGATCGTCAAATCGCTTCTCCATAAAATATTGCAATCTTAATATCCATTGCAAATTGTCTACAAAATATTGTGATTATCGCCTACCAGTTCCCGATCTACTGCACTAATATTTCCTTGAACCCATCTCTATATGTGTACCTACATAGAATAGCTCCAAGGAAAACATGACTTATTTATATTTATATTTATAT